TTACAGCCTATACCTAGTATCTGTTCTCATTACCTGACCCAGGCTGCCTTTGTAGGTCATTAAGATGCTTTCTTCAAGAGAGATGTTTTATATAATAGCTTAGCCAAACTAAACTGAAAACATCCTTTTACCTTTCCTTTCATTACTCTACTGGAACTTCCATAGTTCTGATGGGGAGGTCTCAGGAGGTTTTAAGGAACTGCCACATTTCAGTGTGTAAGCATCTGCAGGTCCTGGCCCCAACTGAACTAAGCTGTAAGATGACAGGAACATTAACTCACACATACTTTGATTAGAAAAGGTGATCAAATCACATTGGATCTTAAATAATTGAACATTTTAGAAGCTCCTGAGCCTTTTTCCTCAGATTTCCTTAGTTTCTAAGGTACCTAATATTGGGGGCAGTATTCAGAAATAGTTAACATATTATCTTTTAAATACTGATTATTCAAATAAATTCAACTATCTTACATTAAACCAATCTTCTTAGCTAGAAATATTAGCCATTTACTAAGTTCTGCCATTCCTTGATCCAACAGTTTCAAATATAGTTTGTAGTTTTTTTAAAAATACACCTTCTTGTGATCAGTAATACAGATTCTAACAGGATTTCTTATCAAGGAACAAATTAAAATGAAGGGGGACAAAAAAAAAGATCAGCTTTTCATCCTTTGCGTACACATACCTAACATGAATGTGTATTTTCAGAAAGCTAGGTGTTGTATAACAGCGAAGACCGAATTGGATACCAATGCCAAGAATATGGCCATTATCTGGATACCGTAGTTACGGATTTCCAGTCTCAAACTCCAAGTTGTGTCAGAGGGCTGGAAACATTTCAGGAGGTACTCACCTCCCAACTACTGAATATTTTTCATGGAAGAGCAAGCTCCTTACAATACCAAACTTCTCTTTCTCTTTCCTTCACTGAAGCACAGTCCGCTGAAACCTAGTTAGCTGAGTATTTTTATCTACCTAGGATGTGGCCATCCAATGGCTATAGTCGCTTCCAAGCGCCGCCTATCTACTTCTGTTCTCAGAACACGTTCTAAGTGCCTAGACTCCCAAATGAAGTACCTTAACTCAGTAAGAATCTAACAGAAAATCACTACTCAAATTTAGCTAAGCTCCTTCCTGGAGCTTAATAACAGGGTATTACCTCTCAAACACACATGTGGAAAGATACACCCAAGGAAAAAAATGAAAGCTCTAAAATTTAATCCAAGGTAGTGCGACATATTACGTCGCCACAATGACAGATACCCGCTATCTATGCAGATGATCCTTCTGATACCCTAAGCCTCACAGTTTATTCAGTATCTAGACCGGGGGTCAACAAACGGGCTGAGGGCCAAATCTGGCCCACTCTTTCTTGTCAGCGGGAAGCCTGCTTCTCCCTCTCCCACTCCCCCACTTGTGTTCCCTCTCTCGCTGTCTCTCTCTCTGAAAATAAATAAAATCTTAAAAAAAAAAATTGTATGGAGAAACAGCCACACCCGTTCATTTGCATATTATATGGGCCTACAACGGCAGAGTAGTTGCAGCAGACTGTTATGGCCCCCAACGCCTAAAATATTTACTATCTGGTACTTCACAGTGGAAAATTTGCTGATCCTGATCTAGATGGTCCCCCTCTGTAGCCATCAACTCCAAAGTCACAGCCTAGACTTTGTCAGCACCACCCGTCTTTTCCTCTCCCTCTATTCCCCAGCTCCACCCAGTTTTCAAACCCACAGTAGCCTACACCAATTCACTGATCTAACAGCCTTTTTCACTATTCTTCACTTGGTATTCTTGCTTCCCCCTTCACCCAGCCCTCGTATGCCACTCTCCATCATTATGATCATTCCTGCATCTACTCCACTGCCCCTCTCTCCAGGAGTTGTACTTACGTTAGAACCTTAAGCCTGATAAAAAGCTGCCTACTTCTACTTCTGCTCAGGATCAGGTGGCTGGGGAAAAAAATAACCACCATGACAACTGGTCTCGTTTTAACCTCAAGTTGGTCATACTACTGCCCATTAATCCTACTACTTTCACATCTTTCCTCAAACATGCAACAATACCTCCCAGCCCTCAGTTTATTTCACTAAGAAAAAACAAAGTAACTTCCCCAAAATCTCACCCCACACTACCAACTACTCAATATACTCTGCCTCTTCCACATTGCTATAAATGTTGCTTAATGTCCCAAGAGGCCATCCCCTCTTGCCTACTCAAAGACCTCTCCCTCTCTTCAAATCAATTTTCCCTCTCCCATATTCCTATCAACAACAAAAGCTGTAACATCTTGCATCCTAAAACAAAATACTCTTTCACACATCCAGTTCCTGGAAAACTCAGCAAGAGTTGAAAGAGCTGCCTTTTGGGGATGCCTGGGTGGCTCAGTTGGTTAAGCATCTGCCTTCAGCTTAGGTCATGATCCCAGGGTTCTGGGACAGGGCCTCCCTGCTCAGCAGGAAGTCTGCTTCTCCCTCTCTCTGCCCCTTCCCCACCCCTGCGCATGCTCTCTCTCAAATATATAAAATCTTAAAAAAAAAAAAAAGCTGCCTTCAGTTCCTTTCATCAATCTCTGTCAAACCCACTCCAATCAGACTTTTGCCTGATCTGAGCCTGCTTTGGTCAAAGTTATCCATTATCTCCCATTGGGCAATTTTTAGTCCCCATTTACTTCACTGATCAGCAACAACTGAAAAGTTGATGCTTCTTGAAACTATTATTCACTTGCCTTAGGGGACCACCTTTCTCTTAAAGGCACCAATCTTCACCCTACCTCACTGGTGCTCCCTCTTCTGCTGGCGCTTCATCTCCTCAAATCCAAAAATACATGTATGCTAATGCTCAGTCCACTCTGTCCACTGTCTCAGGATGATACCTCCCAAATGTTTTAGGTCTCTCAGGCTGGACCTTCCTCCTGAACTTGAGTCTCGGTATATACAACTGCCTACTTGACACCCCCACTTTGAAGTCGAAAAGTCATTTAAAACAATGTCTTAAAACCAAAATTCCTCTGTACACGACCTCAAATCTAGTCTTCCTGAAGTCATTCCCAGTTGAGTCAGTGGCCATCAGAAACATCCTTTACTCCTCTTGTATCACTCCACATTCGATCCATTAGCAAATCCTGCCTCTGCCACCTCCAAAATATCTAGAATCCAGCATTTGAACGACCTCCACCAGCCCCAGGCAGGTTCAAGCCTCTATCATATCCTACCTTGATTATTCCGAGAACCTTCTAATTGGTCTCCCTCCTTCCAGCCCTTCCCCATTATAGTCTATCCCAACAAAGCAGCCAGAGATCATGTTAAGTCAGATCATGTCACTTTTCTGCCACACTGGCTTCCCACTTTATTCAGAATAAAAGTCAAACGACTATATCCCTAACTTCTTTCCTCCTCTTACACCCTACTCCCCACTCCAGCCACAGTGACCTATTTGGTATTCCTTGTACCTGTCCGGTGTATCCCTCCTCAGGATGTTTGCATACACTATTTCCTCTTCTTAGAACATTCTTCTCACAGGGCGCCTGGGTGGCTCAGTCGTTGAGCATCTGCCTTCAGCTCAGGTCATGATCCCAGGGTCCTGGGATCGGGTCCCGCATCGGGCTCCCTGCTCGGCAGGGAGCCCGCTTCTCCCTCTGCTTCTCTCTCTCTCTCCCCCTCTGTCTCTCATGAATAAATAAATAAAATCTTAAAGAAAAAATCTTCTTCCTTCATCTTTAAAAAAAAAAAATTCTTCTCACAGATAACGGGATCATTCCCTTACTTTTTTTAAGATTCTGCTCAAATGTCACCTATCCCTGAGGCCCTTTTTCATCACCCTTTATAAAAAATAGCATCCTCCCCATTACTGATTTTTTTGGGAATTTTTGCCTGATTTATGTATGCCTGTAACAGTGTGCAGCACACAGGAATCAAAAAAAAAAAAAACTCTGCTGAACTAAATAACTTGTGATGTGTACCACCATCTGACATACCATGTATGTCTCTGTCTCTACTGGAATGTAAGCTTCAGGAACACAGCACAGTGCCTATCACACAGTAAGTATTCAATAAAAACTCAGTGAATGATCAAATGAAATGAATGATAAAATCTATTACAGACTTTTTAGTCAAGTGTCTTACTTTTATACTAAGAGTTTAATATTAGACTACTGAAATCTTTTAACAATTCAAATGTTACCACCTTCTTTTAGGCAGTTCTATTATTTGCTACTATATAGCAAATGTACAAAGTAATATTAAAAAAAAAAACATGTAGGGGCTCCTTTGTGGGCTCAAGTCGGTTAAGCATCTGACTCTTGGTTTCAGCTCTGGTCATGATCTCAGGGTCCTGAGATACAGCCCCAGGTTAGACTCCACACTCAGTGCAGAGTCTGCTTGAGATTCTCTCGCCCTCTCCCCCTGTCCCTCCCGCTAAGGTAAATAAATCAATCTTAAAGAAAAAAAAAAAGTAAATCATTTACATGTTTTATCTTCATGCCAACAGCATAATTTTTCTTTTTGAAAGTAAACTGAAGTGGGGGCACCTGGGTGGCTCAGTCGTTAAGCATCTGCCTTCGGCTCAGGTCATGATCTCAGGCTCCTAGGATCGAGCCCCACATCGGGCTCCCTGCTCGGCGGGAAGCCTGCTTCTCCCTCTCCCACTCCCCCTGCTTGTGTTCCCTCTCTCGCTGTGTCTCTGTCAAATAAATAAATAAAATCTTAAAAAAAAAAAAAAGTAAACTGAAGTGAAATCTTTCTGTAAACCTGCAAGTTGCACTGACAAATGGAGACTCTGTACTACTGCTGGTAGTATTTATATCCTTCTGTTCAATCCAGCATCTATTCCTTTGTGGCCCCTCGCCTGCAAAGTATAGAAATGGCTTTGTAACCTGAGAGAAACACTGTATTTGTCACCCCTTTGAGGCTGCATGTGCCAGGCATATTGGCCTACACCGCATAGAGCAGCAGCAGAAGTGGGAGGACTCTTACAGATATAATTAAAGGCCAAACCACACATTGTCATATAGATTTTAATAGATTTTCTGATTAACTCATCACAGTAATCATTTTTACTGTAATGATACGCAGCTTTACTACACTAGTATAAATAAAAACAGATAAATACAGCTCTAGGCAACATCACAGATTAACAAACTAAGCATTCTTCATGAACCAAAACTGAAAACAATTATTAATAAGAGATGCTGACACCCTTGCCCATTCTCATCATACCTTCTCAAAAAGGGTACTCCAATGAGGCGCTCCACTTATTATATTGGTCAATTAATTTGCCAATTAGCCAGGCACATATATTTCATGGTCTCCACTATTTCATCATTTGGTTGAAAAGCAGACACACCTCAACATACCAAAAAGAAAAGTGGAACAGGTAGTATTACTGAAGAAAACCAGTGAACGCATTAGAAATACAATACTTTTCCTGTATTTTAGCAGTAAGACACATCAAGGGATAGAAATATACCAGGAAGAAAATTAATAGCCACCTTGAATATCCACCCTGAAATGTTAGTCTGTGAGGCAGGATGAGCAATGAAAGGAGGATGTGAAATCAAAAAGGAAACATGGAAAATAAAATCCATGTGATGTTTAATGTTACGAAGCTATCTGCAAAGAAGCTGGTTTCTCCTTTGAAGGCTTGTAACTCAAGACAAACAAGCTATTCGGTAGCCAATGCTGAGGAGTTCACACTGCAGATACACTCAGGACAAGATGATGATAAGATATATAGAAGTATAATTTAGAAAAGATTTCACTCTAGAAGGCCAAATGAGCTTTGAAGGGGTTATTAAGAAAGCTTGAAGTCTGCCAAAGGGAGCAAGTAAACTAGGACAAAATACCAATTTTAGGCAGATAGCAAAATGAAGAAATGTTTCATGAAATTCCTAAAATGTTGTTCAACTTCTAATTGTCATTCTAATATGGCTTCATGATCTAATAAAAGCTTCAAGATCTTATGGATATATTATTTTTAAGAACTAGGAAGTGAAGAATCACTTCTAAAATGTAAAAATGGCTCATTGCCAGTTATGTTTCAGAAAATGTCTGTCTGCAAAATTCATTTCCTACCAAAAATGCCTAAGCCCAGATTATATAGGCCAGTCCTACAAGTAAACTGCCTTTGCTGATAGTGAGTTAAGACCATGATTAAGACAGACATTTCCAAAAACAAAAATTCCAAACACACCCCAGTACATTTTCAACTCATCCTGCAAAAATGTGCACTGTGGATATTCAAAACATTAACTGAACACTTATGGATGTGATGTACCGAAAGATTCAAAGGTCATGTTCAGATTAAAATTTTAACTGCTACCTTTGCAATTGTTTTCATTTGTTTGATTTTTTTTTTTAAAAAAAGGTTAACACTATCTGACTTTTGGTTTTAATCTGCAAAGTGATTTGTCGTGTTTTAACTTTCCAGTTAATGAGTCAAAATGTACAGGTCAGAAGACATAATCCAGAGGATGGCAGTGAAAGATCAGAAAAAGTTTTATGTACAATATTGGATCACAGACAAATAACCACAACCTCTTTTTAAACCCTTGTTCCCAGTGTAAACTTTGTTCATATCTCCATATTTGTTAAGTCTGAATTAGTCTATAAAAATCACATTAAAAAGGTAAAATTATTTAAGCACGATATTAACTGATCTGTATTTTATAAATTTTAATCCATAAAAATATAAATAAGAATGGTAAATTTTTAAGAAAAGAAATATACATTTAGTGCAAGTTATGAATTACATTTCTTCTTCAGTGTCAGCAATAAAATATCTTGAGGAAAGAAAAAAAAATGACTGATCTAATTTCAAGAAAAAAAATTCCAGTGTTTAAACATGCAATTAATACCAGATACAGCTAAACAGAATACTTCCTTCTCTTTACTGTCAAAGCAGCAGCATTTTGTTTCCTTATGCTGAACAGTACTTGTATATTATAGTAGTTTTAGAATAGAATAGAAAATTTGCATAAGACCAGGTCACATTATCCATAAAGTTTGAGAGGAAAAAAACAAAAAGAAAACTGTTTATCCTTACAAGTCAAGGTTCATTGTTGTTGATTCTGAACCACAATGCACACAAGCTGAGAGATTTCATTCACACTTCCTTGCTTCCTTCGAGATTTTACCCATTTGATTGGCCTTTGTTGTGGTGCATGTGACCGCTCCAAGCATTTAGTGATGGTACCAACTGCATGGCTAATGGCACAAGAAACACTCCCTTCTTGTGATGAAACTTCGGTAAAATCACAGTACATCTCAATATGAGAAAGGACTGTTTCAAAAGGGTACACCAGTTTAAAGCGGCTTTGCCACAGCTCAAGAGAGAAAGAAAGAGAGAGAGAGGGAGGCAGAAAGAAAGAAAAGCAGATCTTCTGGAATGTAGAAAGATAATGCTTAACTATATAATTCGTGAATTAAACAGAACAGTTTTGATACAAAAGGGCAAGACCTTGCTGTCTTACAGATGGCTCAATTCAAAGTAATCCCTCCAGAAACAGGGACTGCTACTGATGCGATGTTGGAGAAACAGGCCAGGTGCTCCAGCTGGTCCGAGGGCTCCAAGGCCGCGGCGCCCTCTCCGCTGATGCTCCCGCCTGCACTACCGTGGCACACCCTCAGCTGAATGCATCCAGTGCAGAACAACAGGAGATGATTTGCTGCTCTCAGTTAGACGGGGAAATACCTCACTCATTTCCTTCTCGCTCCTTTCCCTCCCCAAACAACTCCTCCATTCCACCAGCAGTATTTGCAAACTGTGTTGCAAAAGCCCAGCTTTTAGATTTCTTTCTTTCTTTCTTTTTTTAAAGGAGAAAAAAAAGTAGACGACTCCCTCGGATTAAAGAGTTGTGCTATTCAACAAATGAACTTCCTCTTCTGTTTCCTCTCTCTCCTCATCTATAGGATTCAGTTGAACATTATTGAAGCGGGGTCTTGGTTTGCCGTCTGGGCCATATGACGGAGGATATCTTTTTTTGTTATAATGCCAAGGAGGCGCCTGAAAGGAATAAAGAGAAGATTGCTATTAAAATAAAAGGGAAAAGAAAAGAAAAGCTAACTCTATAGCTAAACCCTTTTTGTTGACAGGAAGAGAGCAAAGCAAGCACCGTGATTTTGTATTTTCAAAAAGTATTTTATTGGTAAAGATAATTAAATTATCCAGCAACCATCCTTTGATATGAAAGTATCATGGTCACTAATAGTATGATGTCCTTTCCACCAAGACTCTGAGGACTGCACGCCTCATTGAAGTAGAGGTACTTTGATTCATGTATGCCAACAAAAAAGTAAACAAAATGGGAGGATGTGTGAACAAGAAATGATAATTGATCCCATTTGAGAAGGAAAATTCATTGCCATGACATCAAGAAAGCAGTAAAATGTCTGATGACCAAATCTCCTCAATATTCCATTTTTTTAAAACCAAACTTAACCAACTTTTAAAAAATAACTTAAGGATTGCCCAGTTGTATGCAGAATCTTCATGAAAGCACATACAATTGAGATAAAATGGTCAACAAAGAACTCCAATCCCAAACTTCAGAGCCCCGAGAATAAATCTGTAAGACAACCCAAGTTTCTAGTACACTCATCAATGTTTTCCTCTTTTGATTTTGGCCAAAAAAGTTAAGATACAGTGCTTTTATGAAAGTCTTGGTTGTTAATGCTTACGGTGAAAAAATCAAGAAGCAGTCCTAAAAGATTATTATAGGTGAAGCAGAAAGCAGAATGAATGAGTAGCTACTTATTATTCTGGTTAGTAGTTTTTTAAAAAAGGATGCATGAAACACTTGTGAAATATTAGCATACAACAGGAATACATAATCAGTTGTGTACTTAAGCAAACTGGGACAGGTTTTATATAGGTATGACAATTACAGGGCAAAATAATTTCAGGCGTTAATTGCTAAAGCCAGACAATTTTTAGGTTATAAGGTAAGATAATTCAAAATTTATCTTCAGTTATGAAACCACTAGGACATAAAGCCAGTTAAAACAAATGCATTTGACCCCAAAAGCTGCTCACAGCATTCTGGAAACATACAAAAGGGGCACACACATAATCTAGGTACAGTTCACTAATGAAATGGCAGGACACACATTCTTGACTGTGAAGGTATGCAAGGTGTAGGAGAAAAAGAACTAATGCTATGATCACAAATACATACAACATTACGCTCTAGTTAGTGTGCCCATAAAAAAAATCTATTTAACATTCAGCAATTCTAACACTGCTAAGCTCGGTTAAAATCATTTATGAGCTTAGATTTACCACAAGACTACCACAAGATTCGGAAACATAAAAAAGAAAAAGGGTTTTGGGGGTGGGGGACAGACATTTTTCACCAGTCAGGCACCTTCTGAAACCGGTGTATCAACTAAGGTAGACACACTTGTGTTTACTTTAAGAACATCCAATAATATTTACTCATTTAATTATCAAACTGTTTATAGTTCTTAAATTGCAACCAATGATTTTGATGAGAGACATTAACTTTTGCTAACTTCCTATGAATAGAATCTTCCAAATATCTAAACTTATCTTACATAGTTTATGAGATATAAATGTAATTGGCAGCATGTAGGATTTTTTTTTATTCAGCAGATATCTGGGACAGACAGAACTGAACAGTTCACAAGTTTCATGCTTCCTGACTTCTAAGGTGTCTAATGAGGAGATCTCATATATCTAATCACCAGGGGTTCGACGTGCTGCTTTAGTTGCTCGAGATGCTCTAATATGTTCTTCTTTGTGATGATCCCCAAGACAATCCTGAAACAGATCATGTTATGCTAATAACTGTGTGAGAAATTAAATTAAAAGAGGTTCCAATCATAATGATAAAGAAAGGAGAGAAAAAAATAAAAAACATGAACCATAAGAATGCCTTTAATGAACTTTAGAAAAATAAAAATAAAAATGATTTGAAATCCCAGGCCCCATTTGCATAACTTCTGACTTTCATAAGAGACATGATACTATTTTTAAATATCAGTGAGTTTTCTTTTTAAATTAAAAATCAAAATTATAAAAGTTCACAATGAAAATGACTATAAAGAAAAGTACAAAAGAAACAATATTAATACACAGCTGTAAACCTCTAAAATTTAGTTTCATTTTCAGTGTTCCTTCATTAGGGGAAAGTATTTTTCTAATTTCTAAAATGTCACAATGCAGCCACTATTATTTGGATCTACCTCAGCAGTGAAAAGGTAGAAAGAAGATTTAGCCTCAATTGCCTATGAGGAGACTTAAGAAGTCCTGCGGGTTTTACTACTACTTGGGATTAAAGTGAAAGACAATGTGCACTTAAATAAATAATGCCAACCAATATACACACCCCCTAATTTTCAGGACCTGCTGAAAGCTACTTCTTAAAATAAGCTAGTAAGATGTATTTATAATTAGAGGTCAAAATGACTTTTACATTATGCATGTTTTTTTCTAAATGATTATTTTTCAGTTAATCTATCACTATTATAATATCAAGCAAAATGAGGGATATAAATTCTCACAAAGATACTTGAAAATAATTAGATTTATTAGAACAAAATCCTGGTTACTGGTTTTATAATGGAAGAATTCGACTACAATATATGGCAACAAAAATAATGAATTCAAAGACCTTAAAAAGCCTTAATCTTCAAATTCTGGAAGCCCATCCAGAATGCCCTTCAAGGTACTGGACATTTCCCTGGTGATCTAGTTAAGTCAACTTTACTATTCAACTGCCTTTGAACATTCTGACTTCTTAAAGAATGTCACTAGGGGACCTGACTTAAAGTAGTCAAGGCCTACAGATATGTCAGTTATAAAACAGTTATTAAGGATGATGCCTGGGTGTGGGGGTGGGAAAGCAGGGAGGGCAGACATTGGGGAAAGGCAGAAATAGGTTCTCTTCTAATGTATTCTCAGTATTTAAAATAATGTACTGATCCTTAAGAACAAAGATAAATTGAAGATACAAACAAGTTCTCCCTCCAAAAAGGCTCAGAAAATGCACTCATGAAATAAAAAATGCTTACATAAAATAAGCACTAAGGGTGTGAGGGGAAAAAACAAAAACCATCAATTCACTTTAATTTATAGTCAGGAAATGTGAAAAAACCTTGACAATTAAATAATTCCAGTTTAATTCTTACTCATTCTTTTCTTTCCAACTATATACAATGATTATTTTCAGTTAGTATTTTAGTAAGCTCTGCCAAATCACAAGGTACAAAATGAGGAGAGTTACAAATTGGTTAAGGACCAAATGGCAAATCTGGAGATTTATAAAGTAATCTCTATATTACAAAGTAATGGTTCTAAAAAGGAGGAAATAAATATATTTTCTCTCTAATGGAGAAAAGTGATTTGAGAATAATAAGGCCAGGTTCAGTGCTACTTAATTTCAGGAAGTGCAAAGAAAATCAATGCAAAATGTAACTTATATAAAAAATAATTTGCTGTTTCCTTGTGGGGCTAACAAACAATGATGTAAAGAGTTAACAGGGCATGACCCAAGGTTTTCCCAAAATATGTTCCAAAAAACAACAGTCCCAGGAGTTCTTCTGCCCTCTTCCCTCAATCAATCAATAAAATAAAAAAATAAAATAAAATAAAACAAAATAAAAGGCTGCATGTTCAAACAAGTTTGGAAAACTGTTTTCTGCTGTCCCTGGGACTCAAATAATACCAACATTTTATAAACTTTGGGACATTCCACAATAGAGAAACCTCAATTGTATTTAATCCAATACTTTCCAAACTTACATGGTCACAAAACTCTTTTTGAGCAATGCCTATTAACATCCTGCTAGATCCACCAAGACTAAGAAGATTTTGGGACGCCTGAGTGGCTCAGTCGGTTAAGCGTCTGCCTTTGGCTCAGGTCATGATCTCAGGGTCCTGGGATCGAGTCCCACATCGGGCTCCCTGTTCAGCAGGGAGCCTGCTTCCCCCTCTGCCTGCCACTCCCTCTGCTTGTGCGCACCCACGTGCTCTCTCTCTCCGACAAATTAATAAGTAAAATCTTAAAAAAAAAAAAAAAGACTAAAAAGATTTTGAGAAATTCCAATTCAAATATAAAACATGGGAAATCTACAAGTGACATCTTTCAAATTTATAGACACACTTCTCCCTCATCTCCCTATTCTCATTTTCTCCTTGTACCTAACAGTTGGACTTGCTGTATCTCTTCCCCCAAATAGTTATTTTCCACTTCTAAGGACCCACTACGAGCTAGAAGTTGCTGACAGTTATCCAGAACTTCACACTCTCCACTAAAAACTAGTAGATATGGCTTTTTTTCTAACTTTAAGTCATTTAACTTCAAGTGAGAATAAAAACACTCTACTTCCTTACATACTTCCAAGAAAATAAAGACCCAAGACCTACCACCCCAAGTGATCTCTTTTCTTTCTATATATATCAATTTATTTTCCTTGAAGGACAGAAATAAGAAAAATTTAATAATCAAGGCAATTAAACATATTTCTTTAGAAAAAGCTACCCCGCACCACAAGCTTTCTTATAAATGGGCAGTATGAGTTAAGATTTGAATTAGCTATCCTCCCCTTCCCCCACATTTTGTTATTTTTACACTTTCTTTTAAATATTTTCCTTTCTAATATCTGTGCTGCCAAAAATCTGGGAATTAATCAGCAAAGTGAAATATGGTAATTGACCCATACAGCTTTGTGATCATAGGTAATCGTAACTAGAGAGGGACATTTATATTTGTTAGCACACGAAAGGACAAACATGCCAGGCACAGAGAATAACTCAAAGCAAGTAAAAATTATAACTACTCAGCTTAGCTTCTAATTGAGCCATTTAATAATTAAAAGGGCCTTAAAACCCATATAACTTCATAAAAAGTTACTCCATTTAACATGTACTTCTTAAGTTTTCAAACAATGAAGTTTGGTAACTTTTTTTTTAATTAAACATTAAAAGAAAATAGTTATTTTATTACATGTATCTCTTCTCCAATTTGTATCTGCGATACTTAATAATTTCAAACTTCCTTTCATCAAGAATTTTACACCTTTAATAATTTATTTCACATTACTTAGATTTAATTGGTTAGCACAGTGAAAACACTAAATATGGATCTAATTCTCTAACTTCATATTTCTATTCTTAACCCAATATGGCACAATATATTGTTCAAGAAAATGGTAGTAGTTTAAGAAATCACAAAGAAAGAAGATACATTCTATTAGTCAATAACAGTGTAAAAACAGTAGCAAGAGACTGGGCTCTAAAACTGGAAAGATACTTGTTCCCAGATCGACAACTTAGTAACCACAGGACTAGGCATATTATTAAACCCCTCTGAGCTTCAATTATTACAGCTGTCAGGTAGGAATCTACCACCCACTCTGCAGAGGTACTACAAAGTTAAGTGAGAAACCTGAAGAAGGTGCTCAAGAAACAACTTTCCTTCCCTTTTTTTTTTTCCTTTTTCCCTCCTTTCTTTAGACAGGGGTCATGTGTTTTGTCACTCACATGTCTTGAACAAAATGCTTTTTTAAAAAGAAAACCCGCTGTGATTATCTAAGTGTTCAGCATTTCAACCAGCTTCACGCAGGGCAGGGTTAAACCATTTAATTTATGCACAATCAAGAAAATCCTTTGTTTCTCATTTCCAGCCCTTTCTGTCCTCAGCCTTCAGATTAAAACAATGTTCTTAAGTATTTCAACTAGGAAGAATAGTATAATGGACATAAAGGGGACTGGAGAGAGAGTGGGTGGGGAAACAGATCCCCAGTGCAGGGACGGGTGGGACGTCTGCTGAGGCCGACTGTGCATCACATCTCCACTCTGTCCCTATGACACCCCCAAACAAAACTCTTCTATGGTCCTGTCCTGGAGAAACACTGGTAGTTCATGTGTGAAGGGCAGAAAAATAAGTTAACCAATTTATACATTTTAAATACATGAGTTTTTGTCATTAGCAGTTTATATGAAAGCTTTGTGGGTGGAAAAGGTAGAAAAGAGGAAACAAAAAGCATTTGCTAAAGGAGGATTTTAGCTAATTTACAAATTTCATTTAATTATGCATTATTTCCCTCATTACACGGTAAATAAAGTAATGGTTGAAATAGTAAACAGCAAAATAATTACACAGTTAGTATTGAACTAGAAAGTTATATTCAAAGAATGAAATACTTACTAAAAAGAAAACAGGTTTTTTTCTCTACTCCATTCACGTTAGGTCCACTACTCCTCTTTGCCAACTCTGAAGTGTTCCTGACAAATGCTACTTTATGTTTTGGCAAAGATGTGCCAGTTGACATTTTTTTTTTTATTCTTGGTAAGTGCCAATCTGATCAATATGGATCCTATATCTATAACCACACTAAAAAGACAGACTTTTCCACTTGGAAGCTGACTTACACTCTCCCTAAGAAGTGAATATGAATTCCACTAAAAAGTGTCATAAATTCTGTGACGCAAACTGATTTCTTTCACTAGACTTACCCATTGTGAGTTACAAGGCACTGCCTCAGACCCAGCTTTCGGAAAATATCCACCACGATTTCCATCGGGGTGTGATCGGTCACGGTAAAAGGACTCATGTCAAGGATGCTCCGAAGCTTCAGTGGCCGAGGGCTTTCTGCTGGAAGAGACGGGGTGTGCTGTGCAAAACACACACGAGAACTGCCCACAATACCTTCTTGTTTTTTTCTGGCACTTTCTGAAAAGAGAGAGAGAAGACCCAAAATTAATCTGTGTTAAGGGGAATCTGTTTATTTGGAGATTTTAAAAAACAACCAAATGTATCCCATGAATTTTGTTCCCTTCATTTTTTCCTACCTTCTTACCCAAGAGAGGACTCAACTGAAAATTTAGTAATTTCTTATATTTGACAGAATTAGACTTTACCAATAACAAATCATCTTCATGTAAATAAAATATTTGTGGTCTATCAATTTTCTTTACTGGGGCTAAAGCTGTTTTCTAACTCCAGGGGACAAGAAAGCATGCGTGAAATATGGTTTTTTAAAACCTGCACAAATTAGAGCATGGTTTGTTACAGGAATCCATCATCAAAGGATAGCTGCCCATGCTAAACGTCACTTATCCTTCAGAGGTGGGACTAAAGAGTTTCACTCCTATATTGACTATCTTGTATATACTCCACCCCTGTGAATTACTTAGTTCTTTCTCTTTTCTAAGGCTAAAGTTTAATTTTCTAGGCGCGTCATGAGCATAACAGGTGGGTTGAAACTACAACTATGCACATGATGGACACAGACTTATTTTTCAGGTTTTGTTTGCAAAGGCTCTGCTAATTTCCCCTCTCCAGTGTGCTCTGCTTCAAGTGCTTCTGTTTGCTGCCAAGCTCCACTCCGACCTTTGACAGTGCTAGACAAGAAGCAGTAAAGATGCAAAAAACTGCAGAACAGAGACCACAGGAGGAGAAAGGAAACCTATGAAATGGAGAGAATACAACAATAGCTTTATGTTTGTATTTTGAGTTAGTATGTATTCAAAACTAGTATGTATTCAAACTGTTCACAACTATGTTTTTGCCATATTGAACATATTTTAAACATGAATTTTGCTACAAAAATATTTAAGCCAAAATAATAAGCATCAGTCCCAGACTGAGAAGCAGATAAACATATATAGCTCATAAAAAAACACTGCAATTCTGTTTGCTCCTTCTGACCTCTAAAGCCTTATTTAACTGTACTGGAACACATTCAGGTAGGAAGGTACTAAGTGAAATTCTAATGACTAGTACTTACTAAACCACTTTAAAAGCATGATAAAAGCATAAAAAGAAAGCCCATTAGCAAGTGACATAAACGATTCTTGAAAGACGTTCCTTAAGTTCTCTTAACTCACAGAAGCATCTGGCTAATGATCTATGAATGGTGAAGTGTAAATACTGTTAGCATGACAGATATTCTGAGTTAAAACTAACCCCACTCATCAACCTTAAATACCTTAAAGTAACAAATTATACCATCAATGAAAATGTGCTGAGATTAAATATTTAATGATAGAAGTTTCAGAAAAGTTTAGAAAAAGTTACTAACCTGTTTGTTTATTGTAATGTTCCTTCGATATACAAGGCACAAGGCTAGTGAAACCCAGCCTGACTTAAATTTGTCCTTTATATGAATACAGTAACTATTTTAACAAGCACCATCTATTGAGTACTTATAAAGTGCCGAGGCATCTGCTAGGATTGTTTTGCTTTGTTTGAAAAACAATTTTTTTAATGCCATTCATTCAAAGGCTTTTAAAGCAGAAAATATCATCATAGTTTTCATTTTCTGATATGATTCAGGCATTTTTTTTTTTTAAGTACGCATTCAAAACAGAGTTACACTTCCAGGAGAATGGAAATGGTTCTTTTCTAACATAAAATGTCCCAACATAAATAATCACCTTTCTCCCACTAAATTCTATGTTTTATATTTTTCCTTTTATGTTAATAGACTTTCAAGGGCTTGACTTCTCACAACTTATCAAAAAAGAAAGGTACAGGGGCGCCTGGGTGGTTCAGTTGGTTAAGCGACTGCCTTCAGCTCAGGTCATAATCCTGGAGTCCCGGGAACGAGTCCCACATCAGGCTCCCTGCTTCTCCCTCTGACCCTCTTCCCTCTCGTGCTCTCTCTCATTCTCTCTCTCTCAAATAAATAAATAAAATCTTTAAAAAAAAAAACTATACTATAAAAAAAAAGAAAGGTACAGAGGCTGTCCCTTTCATTTCTGACTATGTGAAACCTGGTAGTGACAGGCTGCAAAAACATTCCCCAGGGATATAGAACTCTTTCATCATTTGTATTAATCTTAGAAAGCAAAAAAGTCTCTAAATCCACAAAATGGTATTTCAACTAACCAAGCAGGTATAAAGTTTATTTTAACTACTACAAAGAGATAAACAAAAGACCAGTCCACTTACTTGCAATGTGTATTATTGAGTAAACTCTATTTTAAGGTTTCTAAATATTGCTATGGAAGGGGAAATCTTTAACAAATTAGCTCTTCTAGGTATGCAAACTAAAGCTTTATTCTGAACAAAAGATCTTGAGGGGATAGGAGAAAAGTATAATTAGGGGAGCAGCCTGTCACTGTGCCATGTACCTTACTATTGTGTTCAATATGTCAATGATATTTAGGTTTTCATATACCACGAGTCTCCCTGTAAAACTTACAGCTATTACATAAATAGAAATGAACAAGTGTTACTTTTATACCTCAAGTCAGAAAATAGGAAAGACATATTTTTCAATTCACACTAAAATGTTAAATATACTTCATTTTAAACAAATCTATAAAACATCCAGCCTCACTTTTAATCTTGACATAAAAATGCGGGAAGAAATGCCTCTCCTTTTGGATTCAACTTTAACACAGTAAACTGTCATTCACTGCTGGTGGGAGTACAGGGTATAATCACTCCCTGGTGTGATGTGAAAATATCTTAGAACATTACAAATGCACCTCCTCTCTGATCCAAAAATTCCACTTCCAGTAATTTTTGTACATTTGCACACAGGCAGAATGTTGAATATGTGAAATCATCAAATATATGAGGGAGCAATGTCTATAACAGCAGAAAACTAGAAACATCTTAAATGTTCATCAATGAGGAACTGATTTTAGAAATCATTAGGTATCCCATGGTATGTCTATTTAATGGAATACTACGCAGCTTTAAAAGAACAGAATGAAGAAATTCACTGGGAAGATGTCCAAGAAAACACTGTTTAGTGAAAAAAAAAAAAAACAACAACAAAGTACGGAACAACACATATTGGAGAGCATGATACCATTTGTTTAAAAAGAAAAAACATATATACTTACTTATATAAGGATAGAATAATATCTACAGAATACATAAGAAACCAAAGAGATGGCTGCCTACAGAGAGTTAAACTGGTAACTATGAGGTCATGGTGAGAGACATTTTTCACTGTATACTTTTAATCTTCTTGATTTGAACTATGTGAATGTATCATCTATAAGTAAACTAAAATTTTTAAATAATGAAATGACATACAAATGCAGAGTTTATAAATTATGGGAAAACCGTGCTTTTAAAATCTTGAGTTTTCCCATCCCTGGATATGGTATATAATTTACCAGTTATTCAAGCATTTTTTTTTGTCTTTCATAAAGTATTTGTTATACAAATATACAAAACCTCATGTACAGATCTATTTTTCTCATTAAAAAATGTACTTTATAAAAATATATGTAGGTAAATATTTAAGGTGTGTTCTGAAAGTCACCATGTGAAACATTTCTGATGACATGACTGGATATTTCACATATCTAAAGTATACCTATTCCCTTAAACTGACATCATCTGCTACCACAATATTCTGTTTCAAGATAGTAATAAAACTGAAAAATAGGGGCACCTGGGTGGCTCAGTTGTTAAGCAGCTGCCTTCAGCTCAGGTCATGATCCCAGGGTCCTGGGATCAAGTCCCACATTAGGCTCCCTGCCCAGCAGGAAGCCTGCTTCTCCCTCTCCCACTCCCCCTGCTTGTGTTCCCTCTCCCGCTGTCTCTCTCTCTGTCAAATAAATAAATAAAATCTTTAAAAAAAAAACTCTGAAAAATATATCCACAGACTCAGTGGGATTATGAATAATTCTTAACTTTTACCACTTTATTCATCTTTTAAAAACCTTGTTTTTCCTTTAAATTCCTATGTAAATTCTAAAATTCTGACATTTTTCTTTTCTTTGGCTGGCTACCATTAAAACCTAAAGAATAGGAATCTAAACAATGAAATTCTTCTCCTACTATAGGTTTGGCCATGGGATTAGCTCAGAAGCTCAAACACTTAAACACAAGAGCAACATACATTGCCCATTCCCGGCAACTGTTCTATTACCTACAGCAAATCCTGGAATGATAGGATTGCTAGTCTTTAAAAAACTCTTCCAAAGCTGTAGCCTTTTCCTTAACTAAATAGGATATTCTCTGTAGACGCTTCTGTTTTGTTTTGATAGCTCTTATAAACTGAGCATTTCCATTCTGATTTGAGAAACACTCCCCTAAGTCTTCCCTCTTCAAATGGCACAAGAATTAAAATATTTTACAATCCTTTTGCAATGGCCACAGAGATAAGTTGTAGAGGATGGGCTCACAGGACCAAATGCTTAACTTTTCAGCTCATGGTTCTCCACTAAAAACTTGAGAGTATGAAAGCAACAGCTTGATGAAAATAACCTTTATCACCTTTGGGAGTTGGCGGGGAGAGAGGAAAAGGAATCAGATTGCATAGGAAAGGCCTTACTAGCCTCCTCATCAGTACTTCAGGACTATAAGATAAGGAGAAAAATAAATTTTGCAGGAACACAATTGTTTCCTCCTCATAAAAAGTTTAATTTATTTCCAAGGAATAATATAATATGGCTAATGCCTTTAATCTATACTTGCAGGAATAATATCTCAAAATACATTACTTTTCAACCTAGCATTTGACCAAAATAAACTCTCAACGATTTTTTTTCACTTTAAAGTAGATATTATATGTTCATATTATAAACCTAAATCCAAAAGCTGAAAAAGGAAAACCTGTGAATCTGATATGAAACAGACCAACGAAGACAAGATTTTCAATAACTTGCATTCAAATAAGCCAATATTAAATACAAGAATGTATTTAGTGGGATGACCTAGCACTTGCTAAGGCCTCATCTTATATGCTATTATGAATGATATCAACTTCACAAGGCTTATCTTAGTGGGAAAAGAAAGAATCTGACTTTGATCTCTGATAACAATGCCAAATCAAAAGATAAAACTGTATTTAGTGGGACACCTGGGTGGCTCAGTTGGTTAAGTGTCTGCCTTCGGCCCAGGTCATGATTCCAGGGTGCTGGGATCGAGTGCCACATTGGGCTTCCTGCTGAGCAGGGAGCCTGCTTCTCCCTCTCCCTCTGAACCCTCCCCACCCCGTGCTCTCTCACACACTGTATCGCAAATAAATAAAATCTTTAAAAATAAATAAAAAGATTTCTTAAAAAAAAAAATTTTCTTAGTGGGGAAACAATTCACAGATGCCTAATGCCTTCCCTAAAGAACTTAAGACTTTCGGGGACATAAATAAAATACACCTCTCGCCCCCACAAACCCAACCAATTATTGCTTTCCTTTCCTCAAGAAATCTCATATGTCTGTATCTAAATATATATAGATTCCAACAGATACAGATATAGATAGATTTGTGTGTGTGTCTGTATTTTTTAAAAAGGGTACCTATTGCAATTGTCAGGTCTCTTCTGAGGGCAAATCCCACCAATCTTTGAGATTCTTTTGACATTATGACAGGAAAGCCATTGTAGCTGGTTTCATTAATCATGTTTTCTATATCATCCACTGTCATATTGTCCTGTGTCAGGACGGCTAAAGGAGGATCGTTCCTTCGAGGTCTCATGACATCAGCAGCCAGGGTGGTATGAGTGAATTCTTCTTTTGCATCCAAGAAAGGGTATCCATTTAACCGGATGTGAGCTTCATAAATGCCTTCCCTACCAAAAGCATCGCCAACCCATTTACTGGTCATAACTGCAGCCATAAGGGGAACAATGTATTCCAAGCCTCCGGTAAGCTCAAAAACGATAACCACCAGGGAGACAGTCATCCTTGTCACACCACCTGAAAAAAAAGGAAGCACCATTGGTCAAGGAGGACAGGACATGTTCGTGGAATTTGTGTGCTAGGCAGGTGAACGTGAATTGTAAATAGAACTTAGTGAAAAGGACTACCATTAAAAACTGCTACTCCTCTCTTAAGACAATCACCACTATTTTAATAAGATCTAGAGAAACACTGATTTTCTTTAACACAAAAGATTATTAAAATAACATTTCAAAACCTGTTTACTTCACAGTACAGAGCTGACCAACTAAAACAAGCTTCCCATTTTGGTTTATTGCTATAGCAAAGACTAATTTCACTCATAAAATGGATTATTAAGAATTTGGTGATGCACATCAGAGCTACCTTTTACATCATAGCTACCAATTTAAAATTAAGCTCATATGTGGGTAGAGTATTAATACACTTCTCTGTATCTTTTCAAAATGAGTAAAATATTTTAATGCCTTGTGATTTATGTTAACAGGGTAATATCCCCTTCCTTAGAAAACTCATCTATTTGTTTACCCAAATCATCATTCTGAACTACCATCCGTATACTGATGCCTCATAATCCACATCTCTCCACTTACTATTGCATTTGCCCCATGTCTCCAACTCTGCATACCTTATCTTATTGCTTGCTTATCTCGTTTTCCAACTGTAAAAAGACTCTGGATGACCCACTGTCACAAAAAAACACCACATACTTGAAACCAAAATCCTCTTCTCCCAAAGAGCTACCCATCCCAACTTTCCTGACTCCAGCACCAGCACTACATTCTTCCCGGCAACCTAGATAGTCATTCCAGGTCTATGCCTTTACTTTACTCCAACACCTACACCCTCACAAGCCCTATCTGATTAGCTTTGCAAAATATTTATCTATGGGTCCCTTTCTCAATACTGTCACTATTACCAAACTAGTTCAGACTCTCAAGACATGGTTCCTTAATTTTAACGCTATTTTATCTTACCTCCTTGACTCCAGGCCCCATTACCTTCAATCCACTTTATAAGCCATGTTCCCAGGTTAATCTTTCCTAAGTACTACTTTCACCATGTTGCTCCTTTGCTCAAAAACCTACCAACACTCGCCAGTTCATACTGTATTAAGCTTAAACTCTTCCTTTTTGGTTTTAATCTAAAAATAGAAGGGAGAAAGAACCTACTATATATTATGTATCTACACTATGCCAGGCACATCCCTAGTCAGTTCACAAAGGCTTTTTTTTTAAACTAAGTGACTTATTTTACCTGGCACTGTGCTAACAGCTTTACATGCAGTTGATCTCATATAATCCTCAAAACAACAGTAGGAGATAAGTAGTTATTATTTCTATTTTAAAGATAAGAAAACAAAAAATCAAAGCAAAGGAACATTCCCAAAGTCATCAAGCTACAAATGCCAAAGCCATGACTCTGCCACAGCCTTTTCATAATATGGCTCCTTCTCACGATTAATCCAACTTCATTTCCCAAAAGTATCCAAAACACACCCTCTACTTCAATACTGCCGGTATCTTCAAAGCTCCATGAATACTAAATTTATCCCTATCCCAATTCCTTTGCCTTCACATGATTACATTCCTCAAAGAAATCCTCTTCTTTAAGTTCTACTAATCTCCTTAAGTAAAGCTCATGTTCTTCTACTCTACCTGAACTATGTCAGCTCTCCTTTTCTCTAGATTCCTACAATTTTCTTAGACTCGGTACTATATTTAATCATTATATGATGCTCACTGTTGTTTTCTCAGTTTTGGTCTTATCTCCCCAACGTGACTGTACTTGAGGTTGGGCCCATGTTTTATACTTCTTTTTGTATCACTCACTGCACCTAGCACTGTTAAAGAGAAAGTGGATAACTACTAAGTAATTGCTACTTTGGTGAAAATGATTCTGTCCCTCACTTTCACTTGATATTATACTTTTGAAGATCAATAATTATATAATTTTGATTCACTGAACAAAAATAAGTCAAAATACCAACTATTATTAAATATCATAACCAAAATTCAGCTGACATTTTAAATATAAAAAGAAATAACTATTTTTCAAATCCAAGAGAACACATAGACTCTTAAGTATTTAATGCAGATATTTTTTTTTCATTAAAACAATAGTTACCTTTTTCCACTTTGCTATAAATGCACCTTAAATGGAGGAGGGCTGGTAAAGAAATCTTCCACTATAGCTAACTATAAGTCACTGCAGAGCCAAAGCTAGTCTGACACTTTGCTAGAATGCTAATCTCAGGAACCATGCTACAGTTGTCATAGAGAAGCCAAGATCCTTGACAATGAAAAGAACAAAAATTTCCCTGGACAAGATTCAAATTAAACCTAGGTTGTACTGAGATGTTTTCTGTTACAAAGCATTACACAATATTTAAAAGATGCTAACCACCATTAAATTTTTCCATTAACAAATGTTTAGAGACAGGCAAAATGAAAACTAGTACTACATAAACACCATATAATAGTAGTACTGTTTCATTTTAGTTAAAGCATTCTCTTCCTCTGTCCTGTACCACCCTCCCCCACCTCACCAATCAAGCATAAACGTGCTCTCCCACTTGCTCTTTTCTCTCTCAGATTCACAAACATCCATCCACAGACACAGTTTCATTACCTAAGCATGCAGCAGCACCAACCATGGCATAAAGGCCAGGTGTAATGCAATCAGCTCCAACCTCACACCACTCCTTAAAGATAAACCAGTCGTGGTGATAATACGCAAGCTGTTCTACTGCAATCCCCACAATCCTTCCAGCAATCGCTCCAATGGCCATGCTGGGAATGAACAAGCCTGATGGAACCTGTAACAAAAACACAATGCTTAACTGAGCAGAGATCCTCGAGTTGGATGCTTAGAACCTACATTCTACAGACTTCTTTATAACACTTTTGATTCTTTTCACATTTTATTTATATAGCAAAATCCTAGTACAAATAAAACTACAGCAAAATACCCTTCTACTGGTACCTTATTCATGAATTCAGTTACAAAGTAACAAGTAACATTCTCTAGGCCAAAGAGAAAATAACCCAAGGGTTATTTATCCTTTAAGCTCAAGAGTTCCTTAATGCCAGTCCCTAACAAAATTTTTATTAGTCTATGCTGAAATGGGGAAAGAAAAAAGGACAATATGAAGCATTTTTCATAAAACGAAATCAGTTCGGTGGGAAGTACTGTCTTTTACTCCACAATTACACCCTCCTACATATTTGTTGTTTACCAAATGATAAAAATATTAGATGTGATTCCTCTTAAGTTGTACAATGTGAAGCAGACAATCTTACCAGGTCCTTCAATATTTTTTAGCGATACATATAAGGAGAAAAATATTTATCGATCAATTAAATTTAATGAAGAAAATAGGAATAGTAAACATCTTAAGCAAGATCATTTAAAGATTAAAATACTAATAGCTCCAAAATGTTCTGGATATGAAATAAGCTGAGCACAAAATAATGGCATGTTGAACACGGTATCAGGATCATTAAAAGGCTATCCAAAGAGAAGAGATCAAAATATGTTTCATTCCACTGCCAGTTAGGATTCTTCAGCCAGAGCACAGGACATTGTGGGACTTAACAAAGACCCGCCAATTGTCTCCAGCATCCTATAGCTCAACTAAAGATAAGAAAGTTGGGATTTACAGAAAATCAACTTACGTAGAAACAGGAGCTTCAATAGTTGCTCTAACTTGATTCACTATGAAAAAAATTTTTAACTTCAAGGTTTTTCTATTATGTAACTCTTATACCCAGTAGACTAAATAGAGAACAACAGAAAAGAAACCATACTTCAAAAACTATCATTATGATTTTGTTGACATTAAGGTGTTATTCCACATAATTTACATCTGCAAAAGCATATTATCACTAGTGAATATTAATTTAAAGAACAACGATTAGCTGACATTTGATCCTCATATACAGCACTGACAGTCATATAAGAAAATTACATTTACTGGCAAATCACTAAGTAATTAATGTTATTCTCACTTTTGTACATTCAAATGAAGCAATGTGCCAGGGCACTGGGTCTAGCTCCCTTAAATCCTTGATGGAAAAAGACATGGTATTCACAGGCTAGTAATTTAACAGAGCCTGCAGTGTCCTTTCAAGCTAACACCCTATAGTAGCATGACAGGCAGAGTAACGGCTCCCCAGAGTTTTTCTATATTCTAATTACCATGAATTCCTTATGTTACACAGTAAGGAGGAATTAAGGTTGCAGGTAAAATTAGGGTTAATCAGCTGACTTTAAAACAGAAGATTATCCCGGATTACCTGGGTGGGCTCAAAGTAATCACAAAGGTTATTTTAAATGTGGAAGAAGGATTTAGAAGAGTTAGTGTCAGGATAATGAGATAAAAGAAAAACCTAACTAACCATTGCTGGCTTTGAGGATGGGAGAAGGGGGCCATGAGCCAAGGAATGTGGGTGGCCTCTAGAAGGCTAGAAAAGGCAAGAAATGGACTCTCCCCTAGAACTTCCATAAATCCCTATGAACACCTTGATTTTAGTCCAGTGAGACCCATTTTGGACTTCTGATCGCCAAAACTGTAATTAATTGGTGTGATTTTTAAGCCACTAAGTTTAGGGTAGTTTATTATAGCAGCAAAAGGAAACTAACATAAGTGCTTTTAAAACGTCACCATGAATTCCCTGACACTGCTCCCATTAAGAGGTAGGCCTCTGTTACTGCCCAGACAAATAGAAAGTAACATGAGGCATGGTGCATGACTTCCCCGGCGAGGTTAAAAACGATCCTCTTGGGACAAGGAGCTACCATGTAAGAAATCTAAATGCCCAGAAGGCACCAAGCTGGAAAAAACCGAGACACAGACAGAGACAGAGAAAGAGAGAGATGGTTCAGGAGCCCAGATGTTCCAGACCCAGTTGTCTGAATCTTCCCAGCCCAGGTGGTAGATGACCAGCCTTAGCCATGTCTAATGACATGTATGACAGACCACAAACAAAACATGCCCAGTTGAGTCCTTCCCAAATTATTGACTCAATACCAAAAGCAAAATAACTAGGTATCTTAAATTGCTAGGTTTTGGGGTAATTTGTTACACAGTAACAGATAACCATGTTCAACAATATATCCAAAGGAATTCTTTTATTCATTACGTGAAATGAAACCCAAAAGATAAGAACTTTTTCAGCCTACATTTATGAAATAACCACCTTTAGATAAACATTTCACTGCTCATTTCACACACATTTTAAACATGACAAAATTACTTAACTAACACCTCACATTAGCACTTACCTTGATACCAAAAGTGAATACTGTCATGATAATTTTAAATATGAGTGCTAAGCATAACTGCCATATAGCTGAATACACTCCAAGGCCTGCTGGACGATCAGGAATATCATCAACAATTTTACTGGCATTCATGTCATTTCTGTAGTCACAAAGAGAAGAGGATTCCAGAGGACCACAGTCTGTAAAAAGCTCTTTGATCAGCTCACTGGTGTTGAGCCTGGTATACGGATTAGGGAAGGCTATCACCGCAGTAATGGCAGCAACAACAATGACTTCAAGAACAGGATACTTTCCGAATCTGGTGGATTTGCGGCGACGACACCAGGCAATATTTGCCCTAATGAAAAAGGCTCCCCAAAGCCCTCCAAATACCCCGAGGAGAATAAAAGGGAACAGTTCAAAAAGGTACCATGGTGTGTGATACTCCACATAAAAAAGGACCAGACGGCTGTTACCAAAAGGATTGATGGATCTCAAAACAAATGCAGCCACTAAAGCAGCAAAAAATGATCTCCATAAAGTTTTAAGAGGAAAATAATAGCTAACCTAAAAAGAAAAAGAAAAATTAATGCTATAATTTTATAAGATGTTTCTGGTATCTTATAACTTGAATATCATCGTCTAATTTTTGCCACAGCTAGTGTTTACATATAATAGATTTTACTGTGGTAAGAAAAAAATCAATGTTTTATTAACTTTGGCTATCACATCATTACAAATTCCCAGTATCAACTGGTCAAAAATGTCTAGTAATTATTTCAGATACCTAGCATTGTTTCATTTTCAAAATGAGTTTCACCTCATGTAGTGAAGAATAAATGCACCATCACCAACTCTTATGAGCTCATAAAGAAGTATTTAATTTGTCTCTTCTATATTAAAGAAAAAAGAGGAAAAGAACACAAACTGGAAAAGCAAATTTTAAACCATTCCTAGTCACATTTTTGTGTAAATATGTAAAAAGTCTTAAGCACCAATGAGAAAACAAAAACAAAATATGCCACTGATGCGACTAAAATAATTTTCTTAAACATCAATAACTACCCCAGAAATAAGCATACAAACTCACAATTTAGAAATTGATTAAAACTTTTTAAATAAAAACATGGGTGATAATATAACAAACAGTGGTTAAATAATTTCTACTAAGCCAAATCCATTTCTGCTTACTTTTAAATACATCAACAAAGTTTAATTTTAAATAATCACTTAATATTTATACATGAATAATATTTTAAGGCCTTTCTCAAAGTAAAGAACATGTTATATTAATCTCTAAGTAAGAATAAGTGAAAAATAACTTTACGAAGTTAAATCTGAAAACTTAAGGGCACAGTCTGTATTTATTACACTAGCTATATAACAGAAAAGCATGCCAAAATATATTTGTAATGGTAATTATGCATAATGTTATAGTTGCTGTTTTCTTTACCTACCTCTTCCAGGCTAAAAAGAACTCCTCCAATTGGTGCACCGAAAGCTACAGAAACCCCTGCAGCTGAGGCAGCTGATAGTACCTAAAAAGAGAATTTGGCTTATTTCATATATTCTTATAAATTCAAATATACCAAATAAAAACTCTTCATGTTGCCTGAATTTTTGAAATGCCTCTCCTGAAGTTAACTCACATGTCTACCCCATCTCCCCAAGCAGAGGCCATTATTTATTTCCTCTAAAAAGATATTTTTTCTCTTCTGCTTTAACTGAAAGGTCATTCACATATTCGATATTCAATTAAAAAACATTTGTGCAAAATACACTAATGTAAATAGAATGCAAAGAAGAAAAAGGCAATGAATATACACAATTATCAAGATGTTTGGGAAGACCAGTAGAGAGAACAGTAACTGGGGTTTAGGGGGAGAGTAGTTTATTTTTTTTTTTAATAATTTATTCATTCATTTATTTATTTGAGAGAGAGTGAGAGAGAGAGATCATGCGCAGGGGGGAGGATTAGAGGGAGAGGCAGACTCCCCACTGAGCAAGGAGCCCGATGCGGGACTCAATCCCAGGACCCTGGGATCATGACCTGAGCTGAAGGTAGAGGGTTAACCAACTGAGCCACCCAGGTGCCCAAGGATATAATTTCTTCAGATTTTAGAGTTAACTGCTTCACCATTAATAATTAATGTTTTCTATGCAAGCTCTATGCCCAATGTGGGGCTTGAACTCATGACCCTGCGATCAAGAGCTGCATGCTCTACTGACTGAGCCAGCCAGGTGCCCCTAATAATTACTGTTGTCTAAATCGTAGTAAAATATCTAGAGAACTTAAAACCTATTGAGTTACCTTATTTTCACTACTCTAAATCCTCTGAAAATATTGCTACTGCCAATTTGGAAAGCCTCATTCTAAAGCAAAAACAATGGCTACCCCCTTATGAGGCAGTCTTTCCAAACTGGAACCCTACAATAAAGTTAAAGATGACAAAAATATCCACATTCTTACAGATTCTCTCTCCACCTCCCCAGTCTGTCACTTGGACACTGCCCACTTCCCACCAGTACATACACATTCATTGGACATTTATATTGTAATTAATTTTCTAAGAGTCTTTATTCCCTTCACTATTTCATTCCAGTAAATATCTGAGGGTACCAAAGCATTTCCCCAAATGGTCAAGTTTTACATTTATGAAAAAGAAACTGGAAATAATCAAAATTAAATTATATATAATTAAGACCATGATCTCCATTATCAGGCTGCTGTTTGGCAAATTAAAAATAAGCAATACTTATTTTAATTAAATTGTACTTGGCTAGGGGCGCCTGGGTGGTGCAGTTGGTTAAGCATCCAATTCTTGGTTTTGGCTCAGGTCTGATCTCACGGTTGTGAGATGGGTCCCCAAGTTGGGCTCCACTCTCAGTGAGGAGCCTGCTTGTGTTTCTCTCTCCCTCTCCTTCTGCTCCCACCCCTGCTCTCTTGTTCTCTCTCTTTCTCAAATAAATAATTAAAAGAAAATAAGTAAATTGTACCTGGCTTTCAGAATGCAGACTCTGCTTATATGGGGGAGGACAGCAAATTTAATGATTTTGTTTTTTCCCACTAACAGGACTGGAGACAACACATTTAACTGAATTCTCTGTACATTTAATATAATAGAATTTTACATCAAGCTAACACCCAGTACTTATAACTCACACACACATTTTAATGTTTTATAAGTATCAAGGAATCATTTAATTAAAAATGTCAAGGAAGTGAACATAGAAGAAAGCCAAAATATGAGGCCTTCATGTTTTCAACAAGTAAACTCTAGCCATTATATACTAAGGTGAACAAAGTTAATGTCATAAACATTACTAATCATCACAGTGTATATCTTAAAATTTAAGTGAATTTAATTTCTATGGCATTTTCTAATAAATTACATTTTGCACTTAAAATGAATAAATAAAAATAAAAATCTTACCCCCAAATGTCAAGGTACAATAGCAAGTAAAGGAACTGCACTGGAGAGACAAATGCTATAGCTCCATTTCAGCCCTAATTTGCTCTGCTACAACATAGTTTTAGGTTATGTTTTGTTTTGTTTTTAACATACACACATATCCACAGTCACAGAAATAGTAGTAGTAGTAAGGAGTACAGACTTTGGAGTCAGAGAAAAATAAATTTTAATCCATACTCTGACACTCTGCTACATAATCTTGGACAAGTTAGCAGCTCTATGCCCTAATTTCCTATCTATAAATGGGGACAATAGTGCCAAGTTAATAAGATTATTGTGGATTTAAATTTTAAAATGAAAGGACTTGTCACAGAACCAGATACATAATAAGTAATCAATAATGTTAGCTATTCGAGTTAGAGCATAGTACTAGAATCACAATTATCATTCAGAGGTAGAACTATGACGGTCTGAAGTGTTCCTCTTTCAGACTACTGCCAATGTACGAACAATGTTTTAGTACTAACACTAAATGAAAGAGAAATCATTTCAACTGAAGAATCAAATAGCTTGATAAAAATATTCTACTTTTTTGTTATAGTATTAAAAACAACAGGATGAAAAGTCCTGTGCTAGGGTCAGAGACCTCTGAGTTCTCAATATTTAATTATATAAAAATATGGTATCTTGAAAACGCAAAGCGCTCTGTGCCACCTTGGCCTACAGATTAGATTGGGAAAACAAGAAGGGATTGGGCTCCCAAAGTGTAGAGCTAATACAAAAGGTCTCAGGAGCCCATTTTTCTTCTAGAAAATATCCATAGCAATGTACAAACATTAGGGAACTCCATAATAAATAAAGTTTAAAGCCCTCCTAAAAGATCTTGGGCTGGCCTAAAAAAAAAAAAAAAAAAGATCAAGGAAATAAATGTTCCTAAACAGCTGAATAAAGAGGAATTCCTATATTCCCTTTAGTATGAATCTCTGATTTAAACCTCAGGAGGTCCTAAAGGCCCTCAGAACATCCTCATGGTGCCAGATAGCTCTCTGCAGATGACACACCTCTCTCGGGGGCATTAGACACTTCCTCCAGAGGAAAACACAGCTGTTAAGACTTCCCAACCCTGGAAAAATACTGATGGTGAGAAATCAGAGGAAAAATAATGTTACATTTGGGAAAAACTTCAGAGGAAGAAAGGTGTAAGGCAAAGCAAAAACAAATGGAAAGAGCTTTGTGAAATTCAACTGAAACCAATGGACCAGGTAGTCTACCAAAACTTCTCTAAAATACCGGAGTAACTGAGCAGCACTGGGAATAGATTCTAGAAAGATATTAGAGATAATCAAAAAGGGGGAAAGAAGCAAACAATTCTCACATTTGAATCTGAATACAGAATTTATCCAAAAAGTAAAGAGTTAAAACACGATCTTTACACTAGAAAATTCTCACTAAGTCTATGTAATATTTATCTGTCAAATAAACCACAAAGATACTTACCTCCCTTTTTTTAGCTTCATTTGTGCTATACTTTGGAAAGAGGTAGGAAAAAATATTTCCACAGCAACAGGCAACATGTACCAGAGGACCTTCTTTTCCTAAACTCAAACCTGATGCCACAGCCAGTACTAATGTGATGGTTTTAATCATTAAAGTCCACTTTCCCAAGTAACCTCTGATGATGAATCCACTTAAAATAGTTTTAATCTACAAAGAAAAGATTAAGATAGCTAATTTCCTTTAAGAAACAGGAAAATTTAACTAATTTAAGTTACTCTCTTGTTTTACTCACAAAACCACCCTGCAAATATTTTTGGTGAACCATGGAACAATTCACAATTTTTCAAAAGCTTTAACTATTACGCTACATAATAAATCTATATCATATTCTAATTCTCTTCTCAAGCAAGGATTGAAGGAACCCTATCTCATGAACAAAACTAGAATATAAGGCCATGTTAAAAGGAATACAGACCTTAATAACAAGGGTTGTAATTACATAATAAGGAAAAGGTAAATTTGAATATTTCTGTTGTAGAAATATAGTTAAATACATTCAGATATTCTGTGTCAGAAATTAGGATATTTTGTCTTCTCAGAGTGCTGCCATTATGTGTAATATTTTCCTATATATTAAGAAGGATAAGTGACAACAGCTAAATGCTGCATGATATTGCCCCTTATTGAAGACATAATTAGCAAAACTTTAAAAATCACTAAAATTAAGTTTCAAAAGGAAATGCATTAGAAAAAGCTGGTAAGACAGAAAAATTAAGAGGGGAAAGAAATGAATTCCCATCACACCATTCAATCCTAAGTATATTCTTTAAATTACACCATTCAATTCTGAGTATATTCCTTAAATTACCGGAGATAAAAAATAAAACCCAAAAGTTTATACTATTGCCTCACTGTGGTCAAATGTTTATTTAAAGTACAAAATTGTTATAAATATTATCTGCCAAATTCAAGAAATATTAACTTATTTAATTAAAAAATAGTCATATAAAAAGAGTAAATATATTCAAATCAGGTTCATAGCAGCAAAACATCAACTAATCCATCAAAGAACTTTAGGCCACATAATACTTTTCCAGCTTTATAACTGAGTTTTCTGATATTTGTTTACTCACGTGCTAAATTAGTGGTGGAAAAAAAAAAATCAACCTCCACAGTTAATGATGAAATGACTATGGGGAAGAATTTGTGATATCTACAATCAACTTACATTTTTAAAATTTTCTTTTTTACATTACAATTTCCCCAGAAAAACAACTACTTTTTCCCCCCTAAAGGCAAAAAGATCAACATCATCACAATTACCAAATGTTTAAATGATACTAAAATATTGCATGGCTTACCTCTGGAATTCCAGAGCCACAGGCATATGGAGCAAATACTTTTACCAGGGAAACGGCAAGAAAGGCAAAACTCAAGGCCCAGAAGATGTACATTATGTAATTCATGATGTAAGAACCAGGACCCTAAAAGGCAAATCGTATAGTATGAATTTAATGTATAGTGCACCCCAAATGCAAGTGCTTGCCACATAAGAAACTTGTGTGAAACTCGTAAGTTTCCTGGTTTACTTCCACAATAGTTAAGCTTTATATGAACAAAATACTTAAGTAAAATCAAAAAACATATTCATATATACAAGGAGTCTTAATGTTTTCCTAGCTTTTTCTTGATACCTAAAGTCTGGCTGCCAAAAATCTGCTACACTTTAACCTCTGCCTACCCACAAAACACATTTTGGAAATAGTTGAAGACGAAATTGTATTTGCATTTAGATCTCATTCCTCTGCAGTTCTGAAGATCAAGTGAGAAACAGCATACTGCCCATGTTATCAGCAAATATATTCTTTTTAGCTCAAAAATTCAGCTTTAACAAAATTTTTAAAACATATCCTTATATGACCATGTAACTATATATATTATATAACATTCTAATTTTTACAATGTTCTTCATTACAGAATGTCAAGAACAGTAATCATTTAAATAGTATAATGCTACAAAGAAAAATATATGGATTTCTTCAAGATATCTCCAGTTACAAGGCTTATTTTACTAAACTTTTTGATAATTTATACTTCCCGACAATATGTTAGGCAGTTTTAATAACTTGACTTCCTATTAACTTTGTGATATACAGATCCTACTGCACTTCTTTTCTACAGTAAGAAATATATTTAATATCATAATTGAATAGACTTGAATGTGACTATGTAGTTAATTAATAGAGCTTCTTGAAACTTTACATTTTACTTGCTGCAAGGTATTCTTCTATTTTCCAATCTATCCTATTACATTTCTTTTTTTCTTTTAATGCAGTTACAATCATCTAATATGTGATTAATTCTATAATTAAATGGAGATTTATTTAGCCATAACAATTACTAATTCATCTTCAGACCCAGCAAGACTTACTTCCGCTTGACCTATGATTAATTCTGCCCATGTTTTCCACTGGGGACATTTATCCCTCTCTTCAAATGTTGTTTCATTAGATCCCCAACAACACTGTTCATGGTTGTACCACAATGCACTAAGGCAAATGCCCTCCTTTAGATCAGTCATCCAGTCAGCAGCAATGTCTATTAGTCCAGCCAGTGCCCCTGTAAAAACATGTTGACGGTAGTAAAAAAAAAAAAAAAAAAGTAAATCCATTTTTGGAGTGTTAAGAACTATCAAGTTAAGAGGGTCAAAGAAAGCTGCAGACTCCCTATACATAAAGGGTCACATAGGGAATATTATATAAATTTAAGATTTTTAAGTCTTAGGTATAAGTAAGTTTATATTACTTCTAAAAAAGTATAGATAGCCACTCTTTAATATAAAATGGCTACTCTTTGTTTGAAATTAAAACTAAATACATCATTTAAATTAATTGTGATTTGTAATAAAGGTGTTTAAAGACACTAAAATATCTTTAAAAGACAGCTATCTAGCAGGAGGTTCACAAATCAGGTTATTAAAGTCAAAGTTTTTACTATTATGTTTCAATCTGAAACAATAAATATGCAAATGATATCAATATCATTAAAATTTAATGTCCATTAGAAATAGTGAAACTCATAGCATTAATGAATTACTGTGACAGACTTTCAGTTTTCTCCTTAAATAACAGAAAATTAAACATGCCAAGATCATTTTAATGACAGAATACAAAAAATATACAAAATTTATGGTCAAAATCTAGGACCTTCTCATCATATAAAAAGATCAATAGGTCACATACACAGGGGTCACAAAATTCTTGTGCACGTCAATTAGAGGTATCAGTACTTCCCTCTATTCACCACATACATTTTAATTTTCCTCATGTTCTTCTAGACATAATCTTCCATGGTGGAAGCTGAAAGTCATTAAAACAGTCCTTAAAGTTTGTGTTCAGATCTTCAACTTCTATTTCTTAAAATCTCACACATAGGCACATTGTGGGCACTCGATAGCATGGTAGTTGAAATGCAGACTCTTGAGCAGAACTGCCTAAATGTAAATCTTTGCCTGGCCACTTACAAGCTACATGACCTTAGTCAAGTTACTAAACCTCTCTCTGTGCTTCAGGCACCTCATCTGTAAAATGGTGGTAACCGCAGTACTTATACCACAGGACTGCCATGCAGTTTACATACATGTAAAGATTTTAAGGCAGTGCATGAAGCACTCAGTAAACAGTAGCTACTTATTATGATGTTAATATTACAAGATACTTTATTGTTTTCTGGACCAAACCACGTATTTTACAGACACAGAAACTGAACCCAGAAAGATCAACCAAACTGCATAGACACTTAAAGTGACAGAGCCAAGACTAGACTCTGAAGCTTCCTGCCTCCTAGTCTTATATTTAAGATTTCTTGAAGGAAACAAAATAAATACTTTTAAAAATCCAACAGGACCTGAAAAAAACATTGTGGGAAGGAGTGGAGAACGATTTATTTTTCTGTTAACCAAAAAAGGATTACATTAAAATTTTTCTTTACCTGATGCCAATCCTGTTAGTGTTACTACTAGCCATCCTGACCATGCATCATATAAGCTTTTTGTCATTTCCCATGCTGATTCTTTCTTTTTGCTGTTGATCTGAAATTAGAAATGTTTATGCTTCATTTTTCAAACCATGAACAAAAGCCACAATTCTAGAATCTAACAGTTTTTTTCAGTTACTATACACGAGACAGTAATCTATAAACTAAATCATGGGAAAGGTGAGCTTGGGGCAGAATCACTATGTCAGACAGTTGTTATACTTGTAAACCAGATGATAAACATTTACCCAGAGATCTGCATTTTTAACAAAAACCTCAGGATTTTAGAGCAAGGGGTCCACAAACCACACAGAGTCTGGCCTACACTGTTTTAAACTGAATCAAATTTAGCTGATACATAACTTTTATATTAACAGAAATAAGACATTATGGCTTGAAATGTCTGTCATTCCCTGACCATTTTCTGGTCCTAGCAATTAAGTGGATTATGATATTCTTTAAAAGATAAGGCCGGTTAATAACAGTGCCCATAATAACATGCTCATAAATACAGTATAGAATAGTCATGTGAACAAAGGGCCTGCCAAAATTTGTAGGCCTGTAAATATGCAGTTATGGAGAGCTCTAATCCCATTTGTAGGGTCCAGAAGCTCTCTTCTATCACTGTGTAAGGCAGAAGTGTCCTCTAGCAGGACAGGAACAGATTTGATTTCCAGATCTCACTCAACTAAGACACAAGAAGGCAACTCTTCCTCTCTTAGTAAGAATGTACTTTTATTTTTTTTCTCCTTTTTTTATTATGTTAATCACCATATATTACATCATTAGTTTTTGATGTAGGGTTCCATGATTCATTGTTTGTGTATAACACCCAGTGCTCCCTTCAGTACATGCCCTCTTCAATACCCATCACCAGGCTAACCCATCCCCCCACCCCCCTCCCCTCTAGAACCCTCAGTTTGTTTCTGAGTCCATCGTCTCTCATGGTTCGTCTCCCCCTCCGATTCCCCCCCCCTTCATTTTTTCTCTTCCTACCATCTTCTTTTTTTAAACATAATCAAGAAATGGGCAGAAGACATGAACAGATAATTTTCCAAAGAAGACATTCCAAACGGCCAAGAGACACATGAAAAAGTGTTCAACATCGCTCAGCATGAGGGAAATCCAAATCAAAACCTCAATGAAATAACACCTCACACCAGTCAGAATGGCTAAAATTAACAAGTCAGGAAACGATGTTGGCGGGGATGCGGAGAAAGGGGAACCCTCTTACATTGTTGGTGGGAATGCAAGCTGGTGCAGCCACTCTGGAAAACAATATAGAAGTTCCTCAAAAAGTTGAAAATAGAGCTACCCTACAACCCAGCAATTGCACTACTGGGTATTTACCCCAAAGATAAAATAATGTAGGGATCTGAAGCAGTACGTGCACCCCGATGTTTATAGCAGCAATGTCCACAATAGCCAAACTGTGGAAAGAGCCAAGATGTCCACTGACAGATGAATGGATAAAGAAGATGTGATATATTTACACAATGGAATATTATGCAGCCATCAAAAGGAATGAAATCTTGCCATTTGCAACGATGTAGATGGAAATGGAGGGTATTATGCTGAGCAAAATACGTCAATCAGAGAAAGACATGTATCATATGATCTCACTGATATGAGGAATTCTTAATCTCGGGAAACAAACTGAGGGTTGCTGGAGTGGTGGAGGGTGCAGGAGGGATGGGGTGGCTGGGTGACAGACATTGGGGAGGGTATGTGCTATGGTGAGTGCTGTGAATTGTGTAAGACTGTTGAATCACAGACCTGTACCTCTGAAACAAATAATACATTATATGTTTAAAAAAAAAGAAGATAGTAGGAAGGTAGAAATGAAGGGGGGGAAATCGGTGGGGGAGACGTACCATGAGAGACTATGGACTCTGAGAAACAAACTGAGGGTTCTAGAGGGGAGGGGGGTGGGGGGATGGGTTAGTCTGGTGATGGGTATTAAAGAGGGCACATACTGAATGGAGTACTGGGTGTTATACGCAAACAATGAATCATGGAACACTACATCAAAAACTAATGATGTAATGTATGGTGATTAACATAATAAAATTTAAAAATTTAAAAATTTAAAAAAAAAGAAAGAAAGAAAGACACCAAACTATGATTTTTCAGACTTGGGAATCTGACAGGCATCTTCCCAAAAACAAACCAAGGAAGTCTGTCATTTCAAGTGAAATAAATGTGTATTTGTTTCTAATAACAGAATTTGAGCTTTCAAGTAAAACAAGAATTTTGGAAAACTTGTATCTATCACTATAAGGATGACAGATTCCAACTACTTAAAGACTTTTCTAAAGAGATCAGGGTTGATATTAACAGATGTGATTTTTTTATATTGTATAATTAAAAGTGTCAACACTTGAAAGAACTGCATAAATCAGTGACTATTTTCCAAATGATCATTGCATGACATGACAAAATTATTCATTAGAATTGAAGGTGAACTAACAGATTTTAATATAACAAAAGACAAAAAGTTCATTGGTATAGTTTCAGATTACCCACTGGCAACTAATCTTTAAGAAACTACCAGTTGTCACTTTGGTACAGTATCTAAGACTATCCACAATGATATAAAAAGGTTATTAAAATAGTACTAGCTTTTCCAACCTGCCATCTATATGAGGTTGGATTTTCTTCATATACTTCAACCCAAATAACCTATCACAACAGACAGAATGCAGAAGCAGATATTAGAATCCAGCAGTCTTTTATTAAACCAATAATAATGAGATTTATAAAAATGGAACATATATCACTGTAACGATGACAGATTCCTTAAATCTTATAAGGATCCTTATAAGGATGACAATTTCATTATACCATATTAACAAAAATCAAACTTGTTAGTATCAACCCTGATCTCTTTAGAAAAGGTCTTTAAATACTGGAAATCTGTCACTAAATATTTTTTATTTTGAGAAACAGTTATTTTCATAAAAATGTTTGTTTTGTTTTCATAAAAGTATGTTTTGATGTTATGTGTAATGGGGTTTTGTTATACTTTTAAATCAACATCTTTTAAATTTCTCAGGTTTTGCATGGAATATGATAAATATCAATTAATATAACCACATAAACTAAGTTCCCTAGGCATCCTCAATAACTCTTTACAGTTTAGAGTTTAATAGTGTTCTTGATGAATGGATAAAGAGGATGTGGTATATATATACAAAGGATTATTACTCAGCCATCAAAAAATGAAATCTTGCCATTTGCAACGACATGGATAGAACTAGAGGGTATTATGCTGAGCAAAATAAGTCAATCAGAAAAAGACAATTATCCTATGGTTTCACTCATATGTGGAATTTAAGAAACAAAACAGAAGAGCACAGAGGAAGGGAGGGAAAATAAAACAAGATGACATCAGAGAGGGAGACAAACCATAAGAGACTCTTAACCACAGGAAACAAACTGAGGGCTGCTGGAGGGGAGGGGACGGGGGATGGAACAGCAGAGTGAGGGGCATTAAGGAGGGCACGCGATGTGATGAGCACTGCGTGTTATATACAACTGATGAATCACTGAGCTCCACCTGAAACTAATAATACATTATATGCTAATGAACTGAATTTAAATTAAAAAAATAATTCTAAAAAAAGCGTTCTCAGATGATAAAATAAAATAAAATAAAATGTTCTGAGATGAAAAATTTTGAAAATCACCACTGGATTGTATTGTGTCTTCCAAAAAAAGTAAATCTTGACTGATGAATCTCAGAGGTTATACTTGTCATAAACAAAATAATCCCATTCTAATTTCAACTTTACTATACATGTATACATTAATATGAAAGCTTTTAACTAATTTGTACAAGCAGTTATTTTCATTTATAAGTAAATTTCAGACCTTAAAGTTATAATGACCTTTTAGAAGTTGGAATTTTATTTTTTCAAAGAGTTTTTTTTTTAATTTATTTTAGGATTACATCAGTAAGTCACAACCCACAAGTTGTACTTTTTAGTAAAAGCCATTCTTTTTTTAAACGTTTTTTATTTAATGGATAAAATACTGATATAACTTTAAAATTTTTATTTTTTATTTTTTTTAATTTAGCAGAAATTTATTTATTTCTTTTTTTTGATGTTACAAATGGAACAGTTTATTTCTGAAGAAATTTTAGCCCAACTCTTTAGCCCAAGATGTATCTGAAATATACATTTTCTATAAAAACCGTTGGAAATATTATTGCAATATAAGTAATTCTTTTTTTTATTAGTGATTCATTACAACACTTAATATGCCCTTTACAGGACTCAATTTGAGAAATCTCAGCATTTAAAACTGAGAAAGGAAATAAAAGAAAACAGTAAAATCCCACAAAACTCTCTCTCCAATATGGCTCTTCTGTAATAATAATTATATAACAAGTTTCCTCTTTTACTGTAGCTGCTGTGCTGCTCAAAGACAAAAATCATGCTGACTTCTATACCTCAATCTTCCTCCACAACTCATGTGCTGTGTTTTCCCAGTCCTTCCTTTTTTGTCTTATTATACTTCCTTGATTTTAAGTTACCTCAAGTTCTTTCCAGGGGTATAAGTAAACTTTTTTAAAAAAATTACATGTAGAGAGAAAAAAACATGCATTGCTTATAAAATGTAGAAATTTCCTAAATGTACTTTAATGCATAATATATATTTTGGCAGCCTGAGATCATTGGCAAAAATAAAAGGGCGCCTGGGTGGCTCAGTCATTAAGCATCTGCCTTCGGCTCAGGTCATGATCCCAGGGTCCTGGGATCGAGTCCTGCATTGGGCTCCCTGCTCAGCGGGAAGTTTGATTCTCCCTCCCCCACCCCCCAATTTGTGTTCCCTCTCTCGCTGTGTCTCTCTCTGTCAAATAAACAAATAAAATCTTTAAAATATATATATATTATTAAAATGATCTAGTTATACACTACATTAAAAAATTACTGAAAACACTTACCCGTCTATGCCTTTCTCTGTCTTTACATTTCTCTCGCACCCAATCAATAGTATGGAAATCATCATATGTACCAACACCTGGAATTGGTTCATCCAAAAGATCCAGTAAGTGTGTAGAACTGTTAATGCTGCCTCCATTAGTCATTGTATAATGAGTTCCTACAAAGCAAAAAAGAACACTATGTTTTATGACAGACGATGGTGAACTATGTAACCTTCTTAATAGTTCACTAGTAATTCAAAAAGAAATAGTATTACTTGAAATATAATAAAATAAAGGAGGGAAAACATCAAGAAAAGTTATCCAAAACTTGGTAATAAGGCAAAAGACCATGGCATGTCCTTTCAAACATATACTACAGTGTCAAAAATAAGCCTGCGTAGTACTCATCTTTTGCTCTGAGGAAGAGGACTTTGATTTATTATTTTCTATTGATTAGGACATAGACTCTAAAAAGTTAGATAACGACTTACAGAAGATTGATAAATTGAAAATTATTGTTTTCATCTGGTAAAAATGTTATTCAATTTCATCTAGCAGAAAAGATAATACTTAGAGTTGTAGTGTTGTGGGTTTTTGTTTTTTGCCCTGTAAGAAAATTTTTCACTGATATTTCATCTCACACACCCTCCTCTAAGTCATCTTTGTCATCAAGCTAGTCACTAGTACTAAATAAATCTTTTGACAGGTGTTCACTATATACTTATAAGAGACTTTAAAAGTACCAGGAACGACACTGAAAGACAATTCACAAAAAAGACTTAAATTTATAAAGTTCAATCCAACACAAATGGCTCTTAAATTTAAAAAGTTCAATCCAACACAAAAAAGAGAAATACGAATCAAACCTACAATATCATTTTTCTCTATCAGACTGGTAAAGATTAAACAGTTGACTAATGCACTGAGTTGGCAATGTTATGGGGAAGGAGGACTTGCCACAAAATTATTAGTTTAAGTATAAACTGGTATAACCCTTCTAGGAAGTCAAAGCTACCAAAATTTAAATACACAGATACTCTCTAACCCAGCAAAGTCCACTTTCAAAAATTTGTTTTGCAGTTACATTTGCATAAATCCATGTTACACATAGTGTGGTAAAATATCTTACTGTGCGCTTTATAAGGAAAAAAGATTAATGTTGAATTGTTCGTAATCCAAAAAAAAGGTCAGCAAAAGAGCCAGAAGTAAATACGTTAGGCATTGGAGGCCATAGTCACAACAACACAACTCTGCCATAGTGGCACAAAAGAAATCATAGATAATATATGAATGGGTATGGCTGTGTTTCAATAATACTTTATTTACAAAACAGTGAAGAGCAGCATTTGGCCCAACCACTGATCTAAAGTCTCTACAGCACAAACCAAACTCAACGGAAGACGTTTACTAGGAATTTTCTACTTACTGGCACTCTTCTAGATAGTATAGGAGAATACAAAGGCAACAAAAACATTGTCCCTGACTCAATGTAACACTGAATATTGTACTAATAAACTTAATGTCTATTTACCTCTCCCAGGTAGAACTGGGTTCTCTCTTCCCTTTCTATTTGATACATTTGAATATTTGCCTTGGAAAGTATAAACCTTCTAAAAGAATAGTATATTGATCTCAGTGTTTTGGCAGAGGTACTCCAGGAATGCATAATTTATCATTCTTGGCTGAGGGTTTAAAAGCCCAATCCCTGCAACAGCCCATGTTGCTTTACATAAAACCTTATACTTTTTACACTAGCTCTCTCTTCCTCTACCCTGATTTTACTCAGCAATTTCCACCTGGTAAAAGCTGACTGAAAGGCCATAAATTTTCTTAAGGAAAAAATTACTGGAGAACAAACATAATGTGTATTTATAATGTCTTGACAAACTTGAGAATCTCTGACTCTGCTTTCCATGTGATAATATTAAAATTGGCAATTTTAAAAATGTTTTTGGAGGGACATATCAAAAGCCTCTATGACCTTCTGATATGATGACATCACTTCTGGACAAAAATGCATAAAGTCAATCTTAAAAGGAGAAACAAACACAAATTGAAGGAAATTCTACAAAATAAATGGCTTACATTCTTCAAAAAATGTCAAAGTCATGAAAGACAAAGAATGACTGAGAAACTGTTCTAGATTAAAGAAGACTCAAAAGACATGACAACTAAATGTAACACGTGCTCCTGGATTATGAGAATGTGGACCAGGAAAAAAACTGGGTTGGTTTTTTTTTTTTATATTAAAGGACAGAGTAAAATAACTAGAAAATTTGTAAACAGTCTGTAGATCAGACAATGGTACATATCAATATCAATTTTCTGATTCTGAAAATTGTACTATGGCTATATATAAGGGAATGTTCACTCATAAGGAAATACAAACTGAAGTATTTATGTATACACACACATTTAGGTATTATATATACACACACACAAAATAGTACATGTTATATAGAGAATAGCATATAGAACAGTGAGAGAAAGATTAAGAGACAGACTAAACAAATGTGGTAAAATGTTTTTTTTGTTTTTTTTTTAAAGATTTTATTTATTTATTTGACAGAGAGAGACACAGCGAGAGCGGAAACACAAGCAGAAGGAGTGGGAGAGGGAGAAGCCGGCTTCCCTCTGAGAAGGGAGCCCAATGCAGGGCTCGATCCCAGGACCCTAGGACCATGACCTGAGCCAAAGGCAGACACTTAACCGTCTGAGCCACCCAGGTACCCCCAAATGTGGTAAAATGTTAACATTTCAGAAATCCGGGTGAGAAGTACAGAGGATTCTTTTCACTATTTTTCAACATCTCTAAGACTTAAATTAAAAGAAAATGTTTTTTAAAAGTCTGCCATGATATATTTTGAAAACTTCCAACTCCTCCCACCCCATGTTGCCTTTATTTGGGTAGAGTCAAAGAAACATGGACTGCTAATTTTAATTATTACTCTTCTATTCAAAAATAGAAGAAAATAAAAAGAAAATAAAAAAAATAAAAAGCAAAATTTCTATACGACTTAACATATATCCACACAATACGTCACCAGCCCCATGATAAGAATCGTCAAGCTGTTTGCACCATAAAGATGATAAGCAAATGAAGCATTTATTACTCCAACAGACATAAAGCAGGAAGTACAAAAGTAGACACTCATTTTAGCAAAAGGTACAGCAACACAATAAACGATATTTACACTAACTACGGGTCTTGTCTTTAATGATTTTCAAAAAGTTACTCTGCAGAAACTACTCTGACATCTAACTAACAAAACTATGCAACAATTCAAAATATCTGAAAACCAGAAATTAAGGATTCAAACTTTTTAAACCAGAGGACCCTGTGAACCAATGTTTTGTGTTTTGGGGCTTTTAGGTTGTGTCCCTTACAACTTCTGGGGCCGATACAGAACATGTTAGCATGGGATTTAGCCAGAGCAGTTTGTGTCCCCAACAGACTGTTTGTAGGTCAGTCTGTCCCTTCAACCCTATTTGCTTCTATGTACAGAGCAATGGTGTTTCAAAAAAGCATATTATAGGGAGAAATACTGATTGATGTTTTTGGTTTTGGGGGAACCCACAGAAACACAGAGTCAATTATTTCTAAAAGAAATCTGGGTCAGGGGCGCCTGGGTGGCTCAGTCGGTTAATCGTCTGCCTTCGGCTCAGGTCATGATCCCAGGGTCCCGGGATTGAGCCCCGCATCGGGCTCCCTGCTCGGCGGGAGGCCTGCTTCTCCCTCTCCTACTACCCCTGCTTGTGTTCCCTTTCTCACTGTCTCTCTGTCAAATAAATAAATAAATAAACAAATAAATAAATAAATAATCTTTAAAAAAAAAAAAAGAAATCTGGGTCATTCTTGTGACTCCTACTAACAAATTGGCTTGGATAGTAACCAAGGAAGATTTTGGTATGAAAGTAAAATAAAATTTTTTTGCTGAGACAGAAATAATTAGAATATTTCTCTGGCTCCGATATATATAACTAAGTGGAATCCCCAGGAAGAGAAGGGCAGACATTTCAATCTGGCTTTAATTTCTGTTTTATCCTGTTCCTTACTTATTGTAGGGGCTATTACCGAAAATTGAAAGACATTATACTGAATGTGAAATCAATTAACATATTTTTTTAATTTAAAGTTTGTACTTGTGGAGTGTCACACTTGGTGGTCTGTCCCCTGCTCTGCCTCCCCTCGTTTTTTAATAGTACAGAAGTGGGAACTGTCCATTTCCAAGACACCTTTGACCCACGGATCTATTTTCTATTTCTCATAGCCTCTGAAGACAACAGTCACCACACTCAAGGCAGGGATTTGGGGCTCAACATTTCAGAGGCCCCCAGGCAGACTGCAAACTGTGATAAAAGGTGCGGAGTCTCTCATTTGTACAGGTTGCATTCATCAAATATTTACCAAGAATTCCAGATAAAGTGTTCCAGCCTTCACCTCAGATCATTGAAAATATGGTGGGGAATCCACAGTACCCTCATAAGCTGCATATTGTTACCAGAATAAAAAGTACAAAAAGATGTCCAAATTGCTGGGGCGCCTGGGTGGCTCAGCTGGGTAAGCATCTGACTTGGGCCCCGGTCATGATCTCAGGGTGCTGGGATCTAGTCTGGTATTGGGCTCCCTGTTCAGCCGGGAGTCTCCTGGTCTCTCTCTTTCTGCCTCTCCCACTGCTTGTGCTCTCCCTCTCTCTCTCTCTCAAATGAATGAATAAAATCTTAAAAAAAAAAAATGTCCACATTGGGAAAAAGATATAATAAAGATGGTTGGGTTAGAAAAAGCACATACTCAAGTTCACACAAATATACCTTCAGTGAACACAAAACTGAAAGTGGTTAAACCTTTCTTAAGAATCAAGCCCCTGAAGTTGCCACAAGGACGTTTAGCAGAGGAGGACACGTCTAATACATGCCTCCAGAGTACTGGGGAGGGACGCCTGGGTGGCTCAGTCGGTTAAGCGGTTAAGCGTCTGCCTTTGGCTCAGGTCATGATCCCAAGGTCTTATGATCAAGTGCCGCGTGGGAATCCTTGCTCAGCAGGGAGTCTGCTTCTCCCTCTGCCTACCACTCCCCCTGCTTGTGCACGCTGACAAATAAATAAAATCTTAAAAAAACAAAAAAAAGTACTGGGGAATTAGTGGTGCGGTGGCATCTAAACCCTATAGATCAGAAA